ACAGGCAGGAAGCAGAATGACACCTTGGCTCCTCCATGCACTAAAACCACTGGAGATTTCTTAAGTTTTCCAACAAGCCTAAATGCACAATCCTTCTTCCTCCCAAGCACACAACTACATATACCCAGGTGATTCTGTTAAATTAACAAGCATAGGGTAAAACTGCATTTCATTGATACCAGAAACCTCTCCTGTGGAGAGGGGACTGCTATCTGAAACCATTCACTTGGCCAGAAGCTGTCCCAGAAAGGAGCCAGTCCTAAAACTTTAATGAACCTAGTTCCAATCCCATGCAGTAAGAGGTGTCAGTGTGAGGTTTAAAAAAGAAAGACAAAAGCGAAGGGAGAGGGAGAAAGGTTGTTTTAACCTTTCTGTTAGGTGACACATGGCAATTAACACCATCTTAAGACACAAGCAGACAAATGACCACAGGGAAAGTCAGCATGTGAATCTGCTGTCATTTAACAAGTGTATACATACATTGTTTAAGGTAAGCTGAATCATTTACTGGGAAGTATTACAAGTCAAAAGAGTAAACACAAATGTTTATAGAAAAAGACTGCAGTTAAAAACCCTCAGCTCACCCAGGTTGACTTACTCATCTGACTTCAGAGAAATCAGTTACTAGGCATTTGCAGGCATTAGTAGTTCAAGGCATATATGAAAAAGAAATCAGAAAAAAAATTCATGCTTACCTGCATCTTATAACAAACAAAACCAATGAATACCCCATCCTCATGAAGATTTTGCAACAGTATCTAGAACTGAGTAAACAATCTGCTCCTATACTAAAATAAAACATTATCTTTTGTGCTGTTTTAAATCACTTTAGCTTCTACTCTTATGACTCTCCATTTGTCATCTCAATGAAATGAAAGTTTGCATTTGAAGGTCATTGGTAATTTGCAGCTGATCAAGATGAGGCAGTATGGCAGCACAAGATGAAAGAGAGAAAGACTATTTCTGCATCATCTAAACTGTATCATCATGGCTAAAACTGCAATTCAGGATAACCGGCTTAGGAAAAAAAACCCAACACAGGAACTTGTGGGTCTCCTCACAGATGTTACTGTGCTGTCCAGAAAAGAAGCCTTCACAAAACATCCAGCTGAAATGGTTGTGAAATTAGCTTTTACAATGTCAAGTAATGCAATGGATGTTTGCAAGGCAGGCAGGCAATTCAAACAGCAGCACTCAAGAATCAACCCTCCTGTCCTCCATGTGCACAGAAAGGAGAAAATACTGCAGATTCCAACTAAGAAGCAACAGCTGAACTTTTATCCACCATTGTACTAGGAAAAAAAAGTATCTGCCTGATCTCACTCTGGGATTAAAAAGCTGATATCCTGAGCATATTCACCTACTAATAGTATAGTCCTTGAAGTGGCTGCTATTTATTGCTCAAATTATACTTTTTTATTCCTAACTTCTTTGAACAACTATTGAAATCTGAAGATCAACCAAGACATGATTTAAAAACAATACCAAAGTCATACTGGACTTCTGAACTACACCACAATATCCTAATTTTTTTCCTAAAAGAGCCTCCATAGTATCTACAAATGAGGTGTCCTCATCTACTGTGAAGCAAAGTTTACAGATGACAAATTTAACCCCTTCTAACATTACAATAATTTTGCTTACTTTCCCCCAGGTTAGTGTTACTTCTTCACATAACTCTTACATTACTATCTGCCAAAGCTCCCTAAGTTTAAAAGAGATCTGTTCATATAAAGAGAACTCACTTATGTCTTTTGTTTGTACCCAGACAAGTCACCAGTCTAGGAACGCATTTAAAGGTTGATTTGGCTTTTTGTTTTAATTAAAATTTCTACACATTCATTTCAGTATTGAAACCAATTTAAGTTCTGGAATACTTGGTAGAACAATTAAAAACCAAACAAACAAACACCACAGAAAAAACCCTCTCAAACCATAAATTAGTCCTCATTTGAAACACTTGACAGGTTTTAGGTATTTAAGAAGTTAAAGAGGTAAAGCTGTACCAATCCTAAAGTGTAACCTTCATGGACTTTTAACCACCTCACTGCTGGGGCTCCAAGCATCAACAATGACAAAAATTAACAACCCACGCATGTGGAGTTTACCATATTAAAGACAGTAACTTACTGAAACTTAGAAGGTACCTCTGTGACCTTCAGAGGCCAGGAAAGATCTGTACAATGAGTCAAATAAGGTAACAGCGTGCCAAAGTCATCCAATTTTCTAAATAGGGTGCTAACTGCAGAGCTTAATTACCACTGCTTTTCATATTCAGGAATTACATAATCAGCCTGGCAGAGCAGAGCATGAGGCTGGGACTGTCTGAACATACGGCTGAGAGGAGCGAAGGAGAAACACTCGATGCAAAGCACCACTCCTTATCCCTTCTTTAATCAGAACACCGACTACAAATCCCACCTTCAAATATTTCCCAGTGCAAGACCTATTTATTTGGTCTATTAACACAGGCATGGAATATCTCAACATATCTGTCCCATTTTGAGAAGGTCTTTCCGACTCAGTCTCTTTCAACTTGTCCAGCAATAAAATATTGCAGATGCACCAATTACTCCACGATGGCATCCTCTGGTTTTCTCACTTTCCAGCTTTATTTCAATCCCTTTGTTTTTCACTAGTGTCTCCCCAGACACAAGGGGAAAGTAAGTCATCTTCAGACATCCCTGAACTTTGGGAATGGCCATTCACCTGCACCTACAACTATCACCAGGGTGCCAAAAGGGGTAAGAGGGGAAAAAACAGTTGGTTTAGGTTTCACAGCTATTTGGCACTCAGTAGTGCTCAGTATCCTAACACTGTGGATGTGACACTGTGGATGTGGATGTGAAATGTGACTGGTACTAAAACTCTTCTCTCCAAATGATGTTCACACCTGGTGATAAGGAATTTATTCAAGGCTACAAGCTGGTACGGCACAAACTTTCAAAAGAAAGACTCATGGTAAGTAGCTGGTAACTAGTGAGCAGAATACACTTTGAGATTAGCGCTACATTTACACTGCATTTGCATGACAAAAAGTAAAGATTTGGCTCATAATTATACTTTGGAAAGTGATGCTATCTATGAAAGCTCACATGTTCCTACACCAAAGATAAAATTAGACCATTCTATTTAGACAGAAATGTTCTCCATTTATAGATATAGCTGCTATTACTTAAATAATCAGCTATCAAGCTTGACGTGGACATAAGAGACAAGTTCTTCCACACACCATGAACTGAACTTGACAATACGAGATCAACAGGGCAGTTAAAAAGCACTAATTTGGCCAATACCTGACCACTTTGATCACATATACGAAAAAGATTACAGAAAATAGATTTAACTATTACACTGGTATCCGAAGTGCTAACTTCAAGGGATGACCACAGTTCTATTTTCCTGACACCTGTATCATACACACAGTATAGTCTCAAGTCTACTGGTCTTCGAGTTACAGTTCGGTACTTCTCATTCCAGAACCGCTACTTTTTCGTCCTTAGGAAAAGGCAAAATCTGACACAACATTTGTTGTCAGACTGCCTAGCATAGTAGGTTTTGCAACAAGATACCAATACTTTTTGAATACTCTGTACAAGAATTCATAGGTCTACCCACATCTTACTACACCACAAACCTTACTTTACTACTCTGCAAACAAAACCATTAAAGTTCAAAAGGTTACTTCTAATGTTTTCCTTCTTGTGGCAAGCATCACTTATTGATTCTTAACATGTGAGACAGGAAAGCTTAGAGGAAAGTGGACATAAGCATACCTTTTGCACGGTGTATTTCTACTCAGCCACAGCAGGAAGAATGCTGCCAACCAACCCATCACCACGAAGGCTAAGCCAGCATACGATCTCTCATCCTAGATGATGCATTTCACCTCTTGACAACACATGCCACCAGGCTAACACTGACCATGAGGGGGATGCATTTCCTCCTAGCATATTTCGTACCCTTAGGTAGTCAAGTTATCTGCTTCCTAGCATAGCCGTGGTCCCGACAGGTGCGATGCTGCCACAGGATGCCTGTCAGAGCCAGGCGGGAGGAAGCTGAAGGAGGTATGTCCTCCTGCCCCCAAAAAGCAAGGCCGAGGGCACGGGGAGCATCTCCTCACGCCGAGTTTCCATACGGGTAGAGGGCTGCAGGGCAGGTGCACCGAGCCGCCGAGGGGATGCCACACCATGGCACCTGTGAGGACCAGGGCAGGACCCCGGCCCTGGAGGACCAGGGGGAAGACCAGGAGCAGCCTCAGGGGCCGCGGACTCCCCGGGGAGGGGTAGGGCACTGCCCCGCCGCGGCTTCTGCTCCCGCCCGGGTGAGGGCGGAGGGGGAGGCCATCCCTATCCAGCCGGGAAGCGTCCCTCTCCGGCTACTGAGGGGGGCAGCGGCCGCCCGGCGCCGTGACAGGCCCCCGCCCGGCCGGCGGGCAGTCCACTTCGCCGAACAAAAGGCCCGGCCAAGGCCCGGAAACGTCCCGCAGCGGCGGGCTGAGCCGCGCCACCAGCCCAGGGGGCGAGCCCGCAGCCCGGTGTTCCCGCACGGCCGGGGACGGGGCCTGCGGCCGCCAGTGCCCCTCAGCCCGCCTCTCACCGCCGCGTCGGGCCCCGCAGCGGGAGGGAAGGAGCCGGGGTCGCAATGCAACAGCTCCGGCGGCGCTAAGGGAGGGAGGGGGCAGCACAATGAGGCCAACGGCAGCCCCTGCTCCTTCCGTTAACAAAAGCTCCTCAGCCGCGGGGCTAGCACCCGCCTCCGCCCGGGGCTGCCTCCACCACCCCGAGGCCGGGGGGCTCTGCAGCGGGTGGCGCCCCCGCTGCGCCCCGCAGCCGGCGGGCGGTGGGAGCTGGATCTCGCATCGCCCTTCCCTCACCGCCAAATCCCCGGTCGCCCACCCCCCCCCCCCAAGTTTGCCGCCGCCCGCACAATGCAGCCCCCCACCGCCCCGGGGGCCGCCGCACAAAGCGAGCCAGTCCCGCAGCCCTTCCCGCACCGACCTTGAGCTGCCTCAGGCACCCCTAAGGTTTTGGTCACCGCCTTCCACACGTTGCAGCCCAGCAGGCAGAGGAGAAGCGCCGCCGATCTGCTCATTTCCACCCGCCGCCGCCAACCGCCGCCAGGGAGGTAATAGCCGCCGGAGCCGCTGCCCGGAGGAGGAGGAGAAAGAGCCGCATCAGGGGCTGGCCCGCTCCGCGCCTCCCTCCATGTTGCCGTGCGCTGCCCCTCCTGCTTTCTCCGCCTGCTGCATTGTCGTCCCGCCGCTGCGCCCCGGCCGCCGCGTCCCGCTCTGTCCCGGCGGGCTAGCAACGGGAGGGGAAGGAGACGCGGGGGCGCTGCGCGGCTGCCTACCCAGCTGTATTTTCTATCCCCTGCACCGCTCACTTCTTCCCTCTCCCAGCAGCAGCAGCAGCCAGGCTCCACCGCCCGCTCCTTAACCCTTTGCAGCATACCTTGCTCCGCGCGGCGCGCCTGGCAGGACAGCGCCCCCTGCCGGCCGAACTACACCTAGCCCTGCCCTCCCGGCTCGCCGCAGGGCGGGGGGCTGCAGCTCACCGGCGATCACCGGGGCCTGCGGGGCGGATTCACCTGCTGTTGCCGGGGTGCGTTGGCCCGCGACACCGGCTGTTGGCCGGGGAGCAGGCGTATGGACGCGGCAGGCGGCGAGTGCCTCCGCCAGGTGGTACGGCTCTTACCTGCCGCGGGGGGGCGGGTCCCGCCTGCCTGCGCCCGCCGCCCGCTCTCTGCCGTTCTCTTTCCCCCTCAGCGGCTGCAAAATGGCCTCCTCTTCGGTGCTGCCCCCCGCTGCGGCGGCTCGCTCGCCTTCAGCCACAGCCCTGCGGGAGGGACGAGGGGGAAGACGGACGTGGTGGCTATAATGGCACGGCTGAGACGTGTCGAGTCACAGGGTCCCCCGCGGCCCTGCTGCTGTGCGTGGCTCTCGGCCTTGTCCCTGATGGTGATGTATTCAAGTGGTATTAAAAAATACAACCAAAGAACAACAGAAAATGCATCCATCTACTGGTTTTATGCAAAACTGTTTAAAAAACGCTATTGCAAATTGCACAAGGAAGGCAAACTTTGAGATTGAAATACTGGCACTGATGGCTGAGGTCAGCCCTGGCTCTTGAGGTGGGCTGTGGCAGTGTGGTGGCCTCCCACTGTGTCACAGTACAGAAGCGGCACTGTGGAAACTAGCCAGGGCACGGAAGTCTCCTTGAAGGCTTTATCACTGGTGTGTTTTGCACCATCGTAAGAACATCCCTTGGTGCACTGTTTTCCAGGCCAGCAGAGATAAAATACAAGGCCACGTCGCTCATTCCTCTCATCCTGAGCTCTGCTGAGCATCATGCTTCCTAGAGGAGGGAGAACAGGCACTCCTCCTGCTTCCTCCAGAGCAGGGGTTGCTGATACAGCTATTATGGCAAGTCTTTACACAGCTGTGCAAAGCAAAGTCCCTGCCCCACTGCCTCACAGATTTCCCACGATCTGCTCCCAAATACCACCAGTGCTTCAGTTTGCCCGTGAGACTGAAGTTTGTATACCTACAAGTTCAATCTCACAAAAGCGTCTTAAAGCTTCAGGTTTTGTTTATAACATCTATTTTTTAATAAAATTTGCCATAAAAATTCAATGGGCTGTACATTTATTTTTAGAAAGCAGTTTAGTTTGTCACTTCAGTATTTGACCAGGGTAGGTATACCACAAGCTACAGGTTGTTCATTTTATAAATTTTATTACATTCTTGTGCCTCAGAAGTGTTAAAACTCATTTTCTGGTTTATTTTTAGAGATGCTCCAATAGATTACAATATATTTCACTTTGGTTTTATCATCGAGTTGTTCAAATACACTTTCTGAGAGTTGATAAATACAGCATAGACTCTGCAACTTTTTTATCCTGAGAATCTGGAGGAATTGCTTGTAAAACTTGGTCCTAGAAGAAAAGTAGGTACAAAAAGGCCATTCAGTTCACAGAGGAGACCAAATGAGCAAGTACAGATCATCTGATCTTATTCCTGCTTGTCATAAAACAAAGATTTCTATATTGTAAACTGATGCCATGTCTAAACAGTTATCATCTACCAAGCATGGTCTGAAGAGTCTACTGGACTTATACCAAAGCTGATTGGAGTTTAGGAGCTGTTAGTGACTGTAAGGCAACTCCTTCCTAAAGAAAGGTTAGCCATGTGGTAAATAATCACACGTTATATAACTTGGTTTTTTTTTTTTTGAGACCCCATTTCCCTTTCTTTGGATGTCTATGGTTTCAAATTAGCATGCCTAAGATGAGCTCATAGCTAGAAACTTACATAAAAGCTATTTCTGTCCATAAGGAAAGCTAGAGCAATTTGTTACAAGTAGGAATATGCATTTTCCTGAATATAGCTGTATTACTTCTATAGAAAACAGATACCATGGACCTTGCAACATCAGTGGATAACACATAATGATTTGAGCTGGAAAAGAAATTAAATACTGCATTGAGATGTTTCCTAAATCATACTACAAGCTACAGGCATATGAAACATTAACTTTTTGTTGTTGCCTTTTTCCTTCAAAGGAAAAAGAGTATTACTTGGAGCCACTCTCCATAGCACCTTCCTCTCTCCTGTGGCTGTGCACTGGGAACTATCACATCTCACTGGAGGTACAAGCTGCATTGGCCTTCCTATGTTGATTTGCTACCTAGGTTGAGTAAGCTGCCTTAAAGTTATGAAAGCCAACTTTATTAGGCTGGTGGTCTAATAGCTTTTAGGTTTTATTTATTCTGGGAAATATAATTCACCTATGTGGATTCCATGACTAAGAGGTGTCATCATATGACATCTCCCAGTTGACAAAAGCCAGTGAAACACGAAGAAAAGATCAAAGCTTCTCTGAAATTGGTTATTCACAAATCTTTTTAAAATTACATATAAGTTAATATCTAGATCTTAGTGTTACAATATCCCATCTAAAAACATGGCAGAGAATGAAAAGAAAACAAGTAGCTTTTCATCATGTTCTCATATTTTGACCTACCAAGGTGAGGTGTGAATACCTGATCCTAAATAAACTATGCAGATTTTGAAAACACAAACCATATATACCACACACTCCCTGCATTAGCTTTCTTTTATTTCAGCCCAGATATAGACTATGCTGGGTAAACAGTGTTTGTCTCCTTCCTGAATAAGCTAAATATATATATGTAATTATGTGGTAGCACTCTCATAAATGTACCCGCTCATGTCCTGAAACTGAGCTATTCCTCCAAAGAGCTTCTCTTGAAACGCTTTTCTGCCTCGCTTCAGTGAGCACTGAAGTATCTAGGGCTGACATAATGGTAATGCCGTTGATTCCTGGATGAACACTCCCTGTGACACATGCGACAGTTCATGTCTAAGGGCTCAGTTCAAATCCTCTTCAAACTTAAGCAAATACCAGTTATACTCTAGCCACGTTTTCATGCCCTGTTTGTCAATAGCCATTGGCTAGAAACCTTTAAAGAAAAAGAGGGACCAATTTACTGTAACCTAAGTAAACACCACAGGAGAAGTGTCAGTAAGTAACATTAACACAATAATATAACCTAAGTCAGGCTCTAGTGAGAGTTCTGCCTTAACTCTGGATATACATGAGCCAGAAATGTGCCTTTGTAGAAAAGAAGGTGAGTGGTATCCTGGGCTGTATTACACAAAGTATTGTCAGCAGGTCAAAGAAAGTGATCCTTCCCTTCTACTCAGTGCTGGCATGGCCACACCTGGAGTGCTGTGTCCAGTTTCAGGCTCCCCAGTACAAGAGAAACACAGACATACAGAAGGGAGTCCAGCAAAGAGTCATGAAAATGATGAAGGGACTGGAATATCCCTCTTATGAGAAAAGCCTGAGAAAGCTGGGTCTGTTCAGCTTGGAGAAGGCTCAGGGGGATCTTATCAGTGTATATAAATGCCTGAAGGGAAGGAGTAAATAAGATGGAGCCAGGCTTCTGTCAGTGGTGTCCCGTGACAGAACCAGAGGCAATGTGCACAACCTGAAACACAGGAGGCTCCCTCTGAACATCAGAAAATACTGATTTACTGTGATGGTGCCTGAGCACTGGACAGGCTGCCCACAGGGGTTGTGGAGTCTCCATCCTTTGAGGTACTTGAAAGCCATCTGAACACAATCCTGGGCCACTGTCTCTAGGTAGCCCCACCTGAGCAGAGGGATTGGAACAGATGACCTCCAGAGATCACTTCCAACTTCAAGCCTTTAGTGATTTCTGTTCAGAAGGAGTATTTGAGGCCTAGCACTCAAGGTGCACTTGGAACTAGATGGTTGGACCTATCCACAAGGTGGAAAGAAAATGTTTCCTTTCTACAGCATTTTCTATTTGTGCAGTCTGCACTTAGGCGTGTACACATTGTACATTTTTACACTGTACAAACAATGTAAATTACATTTTAAATTGTACAAACACATGCATTTTAAGTTGTATAAACACGTTTTCAAATAGTGGACCACTCAAGTAATGCATACGAATATACTTGCAACATGATCAGCTAGTAATGAGGGTCTCTGTACTAATCATTAGTAGACAGACATATTCAAAGAGGTTAGGTTTAGTCAAAATTTTCAGTTTTCTATGTTGAGTAGTTTCACAGACACTTTTGAACAGTATGCTGAATAAGTAAAACAAAAATTCAGGCTAATTCTTTTCTATTCTTGTTTACAATTTCTAGTACAGTTTTTCTTGTGGTATTCTTTAGAATCATAGGATCATAGAATAGTTAGGGCTGGAAAGAACCTTAAGATCTTCTAGGTCCAGCCCCCCTGCCATGGGCAGGGACACCTCCCACTAAACCGTGTCACCTAAGGACTCGTCCAACCTGGCCTTGAACACTGCCAGGGATGGAGCATTCACAACTTCCTTGGGCAACCTATTCCAGTGCCTCACCACACTTACAGTAAAGAACTTCCTCCTTATATCCAGTCTAAACCTCCCCTCTTTAAGTTTGAACCTGTTACCCCTTGTACTGTCACTACAGTCCCTAATGAAGAGTCCCTCCCCAGCATACTTATAAGCCCCCTTCAGATACTGGAAGACTGCTAGGAGGTCTCCATGCAGCCTTCTCCAGGCTGAACAGCCCCAACTTTCTCAGCCTATCTTCATACGGGAGGTGCTCCAGTCCCCTGATCATCCTCATGGCCCTCCTCTGGACTTGTTCCAACAGTTCCATGTCCTTTTATGCTGAGGACACCAGAACTGCACACAATTCTCCAAGTGAGGTCTCACAAGAGCAGAGTAGCGGGGCAGGATCACCTCCTTCTACCTGCTGGTCACGCTCCTTTTGATGCAGCCCAGGATTCGATTGGCTTTCTGGGCTGCAAGCGCACACTGAAGCCGGCTCATGTTCATTTTCTCATCTACCAACACCCCGAAGTCCTTCTCTGCAGGGCTGCTCTGAATCTCTTCTCTGCCCAGCCTGTAGCTGTGCCTGGGATTCCTCCAACCCAGGTGCAGGGCCTTGCACTAAGCTTGGTTGAACTTCATGTGATTGGCATTGGCCACCTCACAAGCGTGTCAAGGTCCCTCTGGATGGCATTCCTTCCCTCCAGCATATCAACTGAACCACACAGCTTGGTGTCATCGGCAAACTTGCTGAGGGCGCACTCAATCCCACTGTCCATGTCAGTGACAAAGATGTTGAACAAGACCAGTCCCAACACTGATCCCTGAGGGACACCACTTGTTACTGGTCTTCAGCTGGACATTGAGCCATTGACCACAACTCTTTGCGTGTGGCCATCCAGCCAGTTCTTTATCTACCGAGTGGTCCACCTATCAGTTTGATGTCTCTCCAATTTAGAGACAAGGATGTCGTGTGGGACAGTGTTGAACGCTTTACACAAGTCCAGGTAGATGACATCAGCTGCTCTACCCCTGTCCATCAGTTCCGCAGCCCCGTCGTAGAAGGCCGCCAAATTGGTCAGGCAGGATTTCCCCTTAGTGAAGCCATGCTGGCTGTCACCAAGCACCTTATTGATTCTCATGTGCCTTAGCATGCCTTCCAGGAGAATCTGCCCCAAGATTTTGCCAGGCACAGAGGTGAGACTGACTGGTCTGTAATTCTCCGGGTCTTGAAAATGGGGGTTATATTTCCTTTTTCCCAGTCGTCAGGAACTTCACCTGACTGCCATGATTTTTCAAATATGATGGACAGTGGCTTAGCAAGTTCATTTGCCAGCTGTGTACACAAATGTAAATTATGGAAGCTGTACTCAGACAGCCAATGACAAATCTAGAATGGATTAAGAGTTAAATATTTTCTATACAGCAAATGAATTCAGTGAACCAAGAGGTGCAAATATCTGTAATAAAGACATTTATCTAACAGGGTGTTATCTGGCCTTTCTGTTTGGTAGTACCGGTCTGTGCATTTCAGGATGGCATTTATAGTTTCTATCAGAGTCCTTGTTTACCAGTGCACAAGTTACTTTGCATATGGATGATCACACAAAACTAAATAAATAAATAAAAAGAGAGTGAATGTCAGAGTGCAAAGCCCTGAATATTACTGCTCAGCCAGGTGCTCATTATGTGGTATTCAATATTTCACATGAAAACTACAGAAGCTATTTAGTACTGGATCTTTCAAAGCGAAAAGCAAAGTTTTATGGCCTGAACAACAACAATTTCCAGTCTTTACCAGAAATCTAGCAGTGTTTGAGTATGACTGTTGTTTTAGTTGTAGCCATGCTGAGAGTGGATACCAAAACATAATGCTATCTTTGGCATAAATACCTTTTACCCTGAAGATCTCAGATGATTTCAATATTAACATACACATGCTGTGCTATTAATATGAAAGTCAACTAGTGCCTGTGTGTTCTCATAAAATAAAGAAATATTTGCCTAAGTAAGACCTAAGTACTTGTTTACATAGGGAGGTCAGTGTGGAACAGTTACGTGTGAAATACATCGCCATACCTGACTGCACACTAAATCCCTTGGTAGACAACTGGATGTGGTCCAGCTCAAGGCTTCAATAAATATAGGAGCCAAAGCAGGTTTTACTGCCCTATTTCTATATTAAATAAAACAATATTTACCTTGCAGGAGCTACCAGAATAGGATTAGGCTGAGATTAAAAAAAAAGGGGATCTGTAAGCATTGCCTAAGGTCCCAGAGGAGAAGCTAGTAGGGCATCTTGAACTCAAAATGAGAGTTTTAGGAAGCTGGTCTCTGTCAGCTGAGAAAGGACTTGGAGACAGTGGTAGGTCTGAAGCAGGGATGAAAGGATGACTGAGAAGTCAGTGGGCACTGGGACAGGGGAAGGAGGGATGAAGGATGGAGCCTGTGGAGCTTTTGGGAGCTATGTGAGATAGCTCACAGCATCTGTGAGCCTGTGCCTCTTGCTTCAGCTTGATCTGCTCAGAAGATCAGCAGATCCCCGCTGTCTTCTTTTCCTGACACCGTCTCCCTCTTAGCAGAAAGAACACCCTCTGCTCCTGCCAAGGGAGACATGAGAAGGTGAAGTGCAGCCTTATGGCCAAGAGCAATGGAAGAAGAAAGCAGCACCAGGGAGAAATGACAGAGTTGTGATTGCCTCTACTAGCAGATCACAGGCTCCCCTTCAAAGCAGCCACTGTCCCTCCTGCCCTGGTCCTTCCCTTAGTGAGAACAGCAGCAAGTGGCCCTGTGCATAGCTACAGAAACCAAAGTCCACTTCTGGGAGCAGTGAGCTCTACTTACCCGTTTGTTGGCTGGTGACCTGCAAGGAAATAACTATTGCTTACTGGGGTGAGCGGCAGCTCCTGTAGGTTGCTGCCCCAGGCAGCTGCCTACATCAAAAACTATTTTTCTCTGTCAACACTGTGCAAAGCCCCCTTGGAATACCTAAGGCACAGTGTGTCTATTTCCCTGAAGACCAGAAAAACTAGCTGAATGATGATCTATCTTGAAGAAGAAAAGGTCTGAACTCACCTCAAGGACTCTAAGGAGTCTAGGGCAGAGGTTATTTAAAAAAGCTTCATACTCTTCTGTTGAGCATCTCCCAGAGGGAAAACACAAGTTCAGAAATACTGTACAATAAACTATTGCTCCTTTGAAGCAACCTGTACTTCTGCTGGAAAAACATTTGATGGAAGCATATGATGAAAAAGGCTTCCAGACATTAGTCTGCCAGTCGAGTGCAGAAATACCTATCCTGGTACTAACATTATTTCCCAGTGATAATACATGTCTTGGCAAGTTAGGCATGGATACTTCAGTTTGCTGTCTCTGAGTCAGGGCAGAATATATTCAAGCATGCAGCAGCTGGAAGTCTCTCTCTCGAAAACATGGAGAGATGCTAAAATCAACAGTTGGGGATATGATGAAATTATTATTTTATAAACTAAGAAGTTTTATAAGTGCAGAGGACAGGCCAGAGACGGCATATTGCCTTGTGAACAGCTTACTAACAACAAACAAATGAGAACCCACTAGCACTAGGCTGAAGGGATTTCATTTAACTGAAAGACAAAACATTAAGACAATCCAAAACTAGAACACTGACAAGCAAATTAAGGTCTCGGTATCTAACCACAAATGCTCTAAAGCAGAGCTGTAGTTATCATTCATTTTAGCCTCTGCCAGTTCATGCTCATACAAACATACAAAGCTTTAGACTTGCTTACTGTTGAGTGGCTAAGTACGTCCCAGTTTTAAGATTCTTTTCTTGTATACCCAAAATCGCAGCACCATGTATAAGGCATCAAGTACACACACACACAAGAGTAGTTTTCCTTATTCTCTACTGCATTAATTTCAGCTTTTCAGTATCACTAATCCTAAATGT